CAATCATTTAATATCGTTTGCATTGCATTCACAGTTTCTGTGTTAACCACTTATGTAATTTATCAAATTGCACATTTGGAGATGTAAGGGGAAAACTTGTTTTAGGTAATACTCTATGTATCAGTTACCCATTACATGATTTTTTTCACCATTATTTGCAACTTCACACATCTTGTAGTTTTCTATGTAGTCTCTCTATGCAGTCTACTTCAGCTTCTAGTGCTGTACATATCTATATCTTCTGGGTGGGACTGCCCATGATCCATGAGCTTGGGGTCAAGCATAAACTGTGTAGCACCTGAGGTGGACACTGATTTGGTCTCTGCTTCAGAGCTGAGTTATGTTGGCAAAGGCAATGAATGTTGTTTCAAGACGTGAGTTGTTTTTCCAGATACTTCTATTTGGGCAGAGGATCCTAGCTTAGTTTTTTCCTTAGGTTGAGGAAGTGACTCCTTTTTGTTGCTTTTTGTCCACGGTGATTTAACTGTTTCAAAAATTTGCTGGCTTGTAGCATATATATTTTTCCCTGTTACCTTAGCAATTATTACCGACTGAACTGGGTAGCAAACAGTTGCTCCTAAAGTGGCCAGTCCCAGAGGATAAGTAATTTTCTTAAACTTAGAACCTTTTCTCGCTGAAACCAAGCCCACCAATCCTGAAACTGTAATAACTCCCATTTTCGGAAGAAAATCTTGAGGAGGATTCTTCAGATAGACATAAGCATCTTTTCCAAATTGTACTGTATCCATTATCCCATTTTTCACAAAGACATAAACACCTTTGCACCAGCTAACATAACGACCAGTTGCAGTGCGGACAGAAGCAAAGCCCATTTGTAAATGACCAGGCTGCTCTTCAACATATTTAGACTGGAGCGGTGGTGCTGTATATATGGGGAGCTGCTCTGGTTTCACTAGCTGCTTTTTGGATTCCTCTTCTTTGGTTGCATGTACACTTACAGATGCATAAATCAGACCTGTAGGCACGGTTGTCAGTTTTCCCATCCTGATCGCCGCCATGTCTACGACCCTTTCGGCCAAGGTCTGTTGCTGTCTTAAGAGCTTTATAAACGTTTGCAACATATATTTTGTCAATCTAATTTAAATAAATATTATATTAAATAAATATTTTAAATGTTAATGAAGATAAAAAAATAAATAGAATCTCAGCAATGAATGTTAAAAATGTACTAAGAATTGTCAGATTTTATAAATTTTGATAATCTGTCATAAGAAAAATAATCTGTGAGAACATTAAATACGTTAGAGTAAGAATACAGGAGAAGTATTGAGAGACGTTTATAGTTTTCTTTTGCACATGTAATGAAAATGTGTTGTTTGTTAGGAAATTGGTTAAGCGATTAGGGAAACATTGTCTTTTCTTACTGTAGAAATAGAAGCATGTGTACTTGGAAATGTCAAGAAAATCGTTAACAGTGTTTAGAAGCTTTTTTTGATAGTGGGCATGTGTAGCCTATAACTAAACCTGGAATGGGGTTGGGATGGGGTTAAGGGAGGTAAGGTACTAGCTCTATGCGTCTGTGAAATCCTGCTTCATTTAAAGTAGACAAAAATGAGCTAAGTGATATGTATAAGGTTTTACAACCACTGAGTTTATCAATTTCAAGTTTAGTGCTAAGAAAAGTAAAATTAAACATTGAAAATTATATTTTTTAAAATGTTGGTTTATCTTATTTATTTGATTAGTATAAGGTAGAGGAAAACTGGGCAAATATCAGGGTGATAATTGTTTTATGGAACAAGGACTTTTTAAAAATAATATGAAATCTATTATGTGATATTAAAATATTAGATTATTTAATAATCTATGTGTAGATTCAGGAGTAAGAGTATTTGTGTTCTCCAATTGGTGCTGATTTAATTTACATCTCAAAAAAAATTGAGCATTTTAGTATAATTTAATTTGTAGAGCCCAGAATAGATTTATTATCTTTTCTAAGTACCTGATATGCAACTTTTAGGTTTTACTGGCCCCTGCCTTCCCCTTCCATCATCTAATTGGTCACATTCGCTATGATAAAGCTGATGAATTCGTGTATTCATATCTAAGTTGGGTTGTAAGCCTGAGTAATGGTAGAAGGCAAGAGGAAGATCCCTGACCAGAGTCCTTTGATATGTAACCAACCATCTTTTGAAGTTGAACATTTGTTATGATAAATTTTTTTTCTCCGTCATATCACTATATCAGTATTTAAAACTCTTTTCCTTGATTATAAAAGCAACACAAGTATTATGAAGAGAAAAGGAACTACACCCATACTCTCACCATTCATGGATAACATACATAACCTTCTTTAGGTAAAGAACTTTGCTGGAAGCTTTCCTCTTTTAAATTCTACCTTCTTTCAAACTATAATTTATTCTGAGTAAAATGGATAAGAATGTAGTAGGATGAAATAACTAGGGGCTGAAGTGATACTTCAAGAGAAGATGGAGAAGGAAAAGAATTCCTATGAAATTACTGACATACAGAACAAAAAGGGAAGAGCAAAACAAAAAAATCTGACCCTCATGAGTATGTCTATAGAAATGTAAAGTTATATAAATAAGTGTTGTTTTATGTTATGTATACTTTCACTTATTATTCATAAAATTTATTTTGATTCAGGTAGCTTTTTAGTTAGCTCACTGCATCCAAATGTAAAACAGCGTCTTCATGATAGAGGAGTGCCCAGTTAGTGTGCCAATTTTACGTGTTCCAGTCCTTTATTCTCAGAATTTAATCAGTAGGATCTTTTCCTGAAACTTACCACGTGTCTTCTACTTTTCACAGATGTGATTGGGGTAGAAATTCTTCCTGTTTATTTGAATAAGAACCCTTTGGTAAAATTCCTTTGATTCTGAGATAACTAGATGAAATGTGTTGCATAAATCATGTCACAGCAAACAGTTGTCACCTGGCACTAGAGCTTGATGAAATTTAAAAGTGTTGGCTCATTGCCTGTAGTGTTCAGTTACAGTTCTATAGAAAGTCTGTTTGTACAGATGAAGCAGTTCTTGGTGTAATGCAAGATTCATCTCTCAAGTGATAGGGCGTGTGTGAGTTTATTCCAGAGATCTTTACTCTGAGCTCCCAAGACATACTCAGAGAGGCTTTGTTTTAATTTCTTGTTGCTCTCCCTTTGGCACACTTATAAGAAAATGAACAGATCTTAAATTTGGTGAAATTCTTAGCATTTATTTAGTTCAGTGTCTGTTGCAAAGCAGGAATGTTTTCAATACTATTCTTGGCAGATAATCAAATTTGAGTTTTAAGATGCCACTTTTATCTGCAGCTACTTATTCCCTCTCAGCTCTTGTCTTTACTTTCTTCTACTACCAAAATTTCTACACCCATCTTTACTTACTGGCAGTTTAGTCTTATACTTACCCTTTTCTTACAGAATAATAAGATCTATCAAGCATATGTAGAAAAAGGGTAATGAACCCAGGTTCATTGACTCAAGAAGAAACTATAACTATAGGACTATATTCTTTACACTGTGCCAAACTTTATTCCTAAAAGCTGCATTAGATTTTGCCATTCCCAGACTTTAAAACCTTTGTCAACTGTAGGAAAACATACAGATTTTTGTGTCATGAAACAAGTGTATGTCTGTTTAAAAAAAAACACTTTGTTTCTATTTCCTACCCTCATTACTCTTCTACTCGATAGGTAAATTCTGATGTTTCTGATCTGAATCCTTTTATTTGTTTGTGCCCTTGTAAAACATGTAGATTTATTTTGTGTACAGACAAATACTGGAGTTGCATGTATTTTAAATTTGCATGCTTGTGTTATGCTGTAGACATTTTTTTATTTTGACCTCAGCACTGTTTTAAAGATCTGTCTATGTCATTGGGCATACCTCTGGATTGCTACTCCTAACTGCTGCATAGTATTCTATAGAGAGCATTTGCTTCATTTTATTTTATTCTATCTATCGGAGACTTATATTACAAGGCCTTTTTTTTTTTTTATAACTGACCCCGTATTTCTAAGCTGTCTCTTGAAATTACACTTCATGCACCTTAAGTCCTAGCTGCATGAAGCCCATCATTCCTGTATGAAAACAATGTACTTTTTCATATTGCCATACCTTTGCACATGCTGTTCCCTAGGATACTTCCAGTCTTCTAATGGCTGCTTCCTCACGACTCAATTCAGATGTCGTTTCCTTGATGAAGACTTAAGCAGCTATTTCATGCTTGAGCTAGTTGCTCTGTACTCTGCTCACACAGCACTTATTTTTATCTTGGTATTATAGAAGCCTACAATTCCACCTAGCAGCCTATATTTCTGTCTAGATTCCTTGAAGACAGGGACCAGATAGATCTTAGGTATCTTTGTATGCTTTAGTTTAGTAAATTGCATGTAGATGGCCATCAGTAAAACATTCATTGAATGAATGAATGCGTGGAGTTCCTTAAAGTGAAATAGTGACTATATAAGCAAAATTAGTCTCATAAGTAAGAAGAGGTTGGGACACAAATACAAATGTAGTATAAAACTGAGAGAATGGCATACAGGAAACTGAATCCTAAAATGCATTGAGGCTTATAAGGATAGTAAGTACTGGAACATATTATGTTCAGATCATGAAAGAAACATAATAATAAAAGAATAAACTACTGATTGAGACAGATGTAATACTGGATAGTGGAGTGAAGGCAGAGTTATGGAACTCCTGGGTTTTTAATTTCTCTATCAAAAGAAAATGATATTCAAGTTCAGTAAAGATGACTAATGACAGTGGCAAGGGAATTAAAGTTAAGGAAGGCAAAGCAATGATGAGAAAACACTTTTTTGCTCTCAACTGGTTAATGTCCTAGGATTAAATGACTTGCAGATATGAATGGTTAGGTAATCTTTGAACCATTATGACCAGTAACAGAGATGCCAGAAGACTAAAGATCATGCAGATACTGTTTTTATTTTCAAAAAAGAGAGGAAAGGTAGAATTCTGCTATTATAAGATTAGTGGGTTTTATGTTTATCCTTGGGACAATTCCTTTTTTGTTGTTGTTAAGTTGGAGTCTTGCACTGTTGTCAGGCTGGAGTGCAGTGGCACCATCTCTGCTCATTGCAACCTCTGCCTACTGGGTTCAAGTGGTTCTCCTCTTTCAGCCCCTCAGGTAGCTGGACTATAGGTGTCTGCCACCATGCTCGGATAATTTTTGTATTTTTCGTGTAGGTGGGGTTTCACCATGTTGGTCAGGATGGTCTCAATCTCTTGACTTTGTGATCTGCCTGCCTCAGCCTCCCAAAGTGCTGGGATTATAGGTGTGAGCCACCGCACCTGGCCCTTTGGACAATTCATTAACTGATTATTAGACAGATACTTGTGAGGACTTACCTAGAAAAGGAGCAGTCTTCAAGGGACCACATGGGCTCACTGGGAGTGTGTCATGTTAAACATGTGATTTTTTTTTCCCCATGTAGGTTGAGTAAATTGAATTTAGCAATGTTTCAGGCAAAGTGTCTCATGATATGTTTATGAAATATTTAATAGATGGCCAAATTAGGAGTTGGGTTATTGGGCCGGGTAAATTAGTGGATGATTGAAATAATTTGATGAATCATTTGATGTCAGCTTGGAGAAAGGTATTTCTAGTGACATGGCATGGTCGTTTTTTTCACTCTGTTCTATTAATCATTGTTATCACGGACTTGGATTAAACAGGCACATCACATTTTGCATATCACATAAAGCTGGGAGCAAAAGCTAATAGTTTGGCTCAGGGAATTAGGGTTGAAAAAGCTTAGTCATCTGAAATGATTGGCTGAAACTAAGATGGTCTGTAATAATGATTAAAATTTTGCATATAGGTTTGTCAAATTATCAAACTAGCCACGAATCAAGTGGATGTGTTTTAAAAGAAGTTCATATGAAGAGACCTGGGTAGTTGTGGTTTAACTGTCACTGCCATGTCCCACAGTGCCAGAGTTTGAATGTGTCTTCCCCAAAAGTGAGATTTGAAAACTTAAGGGCCAATGTGATACTATTAGAGCGCAGGATCTTTAAGAGGTCATAAGGTCATGAGGGCTCCTTCCCTTGTGAATGGGAGTAAGACCCCTATAAAAGCAACTTTCACAGCCTTCGGGAGCTCCTTCTTCTGCCATGTGAGGACACAGTTTTCCTCTACTCTGGAGGATGCAGCCCTCACCAGACAACCAAACCTGGCGACACCTTGACTTCCAGCCAAGAATTGTAAGATATTAGTTTTTGTTCTTTGTAAATTACCCAGTCTCAGATATTGCTCTATCAGCACAAACTGAAAACACAAGTGTAGACTGTTTTAATAGAAGTGAAGTACTTGGAATGGGGAAGAGCAGTCTCTGTACTGATGAGAAGATAACATTGTATTCATTTATGGTTTCCAGGTTTTAAGAGGTATCTGGGAACTTTATCATAAAAAATATTTTGAAGAATCAGAATGGTTTTTTAACATAACTTTTGTGTGTGTAATGTAGAGAAATTATTAGAATAATAACTTTTCAAATATTTAAAGATGGAAAGAATTAACCTAGTTCCATATTTGCTTAGCTTTTAAATCACGTATATACTTGCAGGCTGGGAATTGTGCCAAGCATTGGGGATATAATAGTGACTAAAAACAGAAAAACTGACCTCCTTTTTACACTTTATGGCACCGACAGTCTGATGGAAAAGGCAGACATTAACCAAGTAATTACATAAATAAATGTAAACTGCAACGATGGTAACTTCAAAGAAGTAGAGGTATATGGTGCCATGAGAAAGAGTATATAGTAGGAGCATTTGATTTACTTAGTAAGGGAAGAGAAGGGAAGGCTTGCCTGAAAGTAAGAAAGAATATACATTGACTAGGTGAAAAGGGGTCGAGAGGGATCTAGGGTGAGCAAGCATGGTGCTTAAGAAAAACAAAAAGCCTGTCAATGATCACAAAATCTGCTCTAAACCTGAAAAGGTAGGAAGGGATGAGGTCACTCATTCTTTAAAGACCTTGGTAAAAAGTCTGTTCCTTATCTAGAAACAGTGAACAACAGTTGCTGGTCTTACATAGAAGACTTCCTGGTTTAAATTTGGGAAGATACCTCTAGCTACAGAGTAGGGAATTGACTAGAGAGGATTTGATAAACCACCTAAGGAAGAATTCCAGTTAGGTGTACAAGGGGACATTGTGCTGCAAGAAATGGGACTTGTCAGGGAAAGTGGAATTCAGTCCTGCAGATCAGGTGGGAGACAATAAAGATACATTTAGGGGCAGGAGACTTGGGTATCTCAGTTTTACCATTCATAGCTTAGTAGCTTTGTGTAAGTCACATTATTTCTGTGCCCGTGATTGTGCCACATTTTTCTCATAGGTTTTGTCAAGATTAGATGATTTTATATACATATGAATGGCATACAAACTGTGAATCGTTATATAAAATGAACGATTTGTGGGGAAAAAAAAATTGTCAAACATAGCCATTATTGAACAGGGTAGCCTAGTCATAGAATGGGATTTCTTCAGTGGTTCCTACTCTTACCTAGTTGGAATAGATGATTCTTTAAGATTTTTATCATTGTAGTTTCAGATTTCCATATCTCTTCCCAGTTGCCTTGGAGCATTTATTAACAAGGAAAACCTAAATATTTATAGCAGGTCCATGCTTTTTAGCTTTCTAGTGGCAACCAAGTAGCTTGATGTGATTTGAAATCAGTTTTACACATGCTCTTTCCCTTATGTGTGATCTCAGACATAAGACGCAATTTAAGGAATCTTGTAGCAAAACCTAAAGGAAAGAATTAGAACTATTAAAAAATTCCCAGTATATCTTTTGGTAAGGTAGAACATACATATCTGAAGTTGGATTCAAATACATAGAGATATACATGTATTTCTTCCCTTGAGTATTGCCTATGTGTATGTATCTATTTATGCAAAGGTATGCAAATACAGGTCCTGTGAGTCGAAATATACCTTTAGTTTTTGAAATGGTTTATTTTACAAACCAAGATAAAATAGAAATCAGGATAAATACATTGTTTAGCTACTTTTTTGAGACAGGAAAGGAACGACATTCCTAAATCATAGCAAAGAGCTCGTATAGGTAACATTATTTATTCACATGTTTGTGCACATAAAATCCGCTCACATATTCATTTGAACAGCTAATATATTTATATGTACTACTATAACCTGAGTTTTTACTAAAATCATTTATATATGTTACCACTAATCTCAAAAACCTATCCCCAAGTTACATGTGGACATACCCTTTTACAGTGAACTAAGACAAAAGGCCAGGTTGCATCTATCTTTTAAAAATCTAAATTTATGCCATCTTTTGGGATAATGCCTTAAACATGTTTTATATAACCTCTTGGATTTTTTGTTTCTTTATTATTAGACTTATTCAATTTTTTTTTTTTTTTTTTTTTNTTTTTAACAGAGTCTTGCTTTGCTGCCCAGGCTGAAGTGCAGTGGCACAATATTGACTCACTGCAACCTCTACCTCCTGGGTTCAAGTAATTCTCGTGCCTCCGCCTCCCGAGTAGCTGGGATTACAGGCATGTGCCACCATGCCTGGCTAATTTTTGTATTTTTAGTAGAGACAGGGTTTCACCCTGTTGGCCAGGCTGTTCTCGAATTCCTGGCCTTAAGTGATCCTGCCTTGGCCTCCCAAACTGCTGGGATTATAGGCATGAGCCACTGGGCCCAGCCACAATTATTCATTTCTAAGTAGGTATGACTTCTGCATGTGTCTTTGGATTTAGGACATTTCTATGCAGAAGAAATATTGTTCATTCTAGTTATTTAGTGATAAGTGTTTATTTTCCTAATAAACTAGGAATAATAATTGCTGAAAACTAATTATACTTGGGGGTTGTTTACACTTGGAAGTTGCTTCTGGATCCATAGCTGAGTAGAAGACATGACAGAGTGTTAAATCAGATATCCTCACAGACTTCCATTTACACTGATAATGACCATAATAGATAGGCCTGCCAGTAGGCTAGGAACTTTACATGGGTTTTTATTTAATCTTTCCAACAGTTCTATGGGATATGGGTACTGTTATTCCAGTTTTGCAGATGAAGAAGCTAGGAATTAGTGAGGCTAAATAACTAGTAAATAGAGAGGACTATGTTCCATCCTCAGTTGCTTTGGATTCCAAGGCTGCTATGCTATTTTAAAACAGCTGATTTGGTACAAAAGAACTTGACTGAAATCATTTTAGTCTAATCGCCTGGAGCCATGCTACTTTCTATGGTACCATATTAAAAAAAGGTAATACACAGATAGCAGATACAAAGGTTGAAATCAGAAACCTATAGTATTCCCTCAGAAATAATGGATTTCTTGTTGCTTTTATAATAAGTTTTTAAATAGTGAATGTTTACACATAGTAAAAAATAATTCATATAGCCAGAGTGTCTATAGAGTGCAAAGTATGCCTTCCTCCTGCGCCAGCCTCCTGTTCCCCCACACAGAAGCAACCATTGTATCTAATTTCTGGTTATTCTTCCAAATATGATGTTAACATGAATTTATTTTTATTTTATTTGCCCAGGCTGGAGTGCAGTGGCACAGTCACAGTTCACTGCAGTGTTAAACTCTTGAGCTCAAGCAATCTTCCTACCTCAGCCTCTGTATTAGCTGGGACTAGCAAGCATGCGCCACCAGGCTCAGCTATTATTTTCATTATTTTATAGAACTGGTGTCACCCTATGTTGTCCAAGCTGGTTTCGAACTCCTAGTGTCAAGCAATTCTCCTGCCTTGGCCTCCCAAAGCAGTGAGATTATTGTCTCTAGCCACTGTGCCTGGCCATTAATTGGTTTTTTAAAAAATGGCATTTGAGTATCAATTCCAAAGAAAACTAGAAGAGCCAGATCCTGTACCAGATTGACATCTGAGTGGGCCAAGCTAGAGAAGCCTGGAGAAGGATGTAGATGACACACTTTCAATGATGAGAGTGTCAGATAGAGCGTCAGCATTACCCACCATCCCCATAGGGGTAACAGAAAGCCATCACAGCAGGTTTGCCTGGTTTTATAGATGAGAAAATTGGTTATTTACGTCATGTGGATAGTTGCAGGTAGAGCAGTATTCATATGCAGAAATATGCTTCTCATTTTTCCAATTCCTTCTACAGCACAAGTGACTTGTGGATTTGAGAGTATAATGAAGAACTGTACAATTTAAATTGTACAATTCCAAAATTGACTAAGGGTTTCTACTGGTAAGCCAAGTAGCAAACTTTAGAAAGCCAAAGTTAGTAGAAGATAGTAAAAAACATTTTTAATACTTTTAAAATTTTAGAATAAATTTAAATTTACAGAAAGCATATGAAGATATTAAACAGAGTTCCCATGTACGCTACCTCTGGTTTCCCCTATTATTAATAAGTTTCTCCACTATGAAGTTACTCTTCGGAAGGAAGTCACTATATGCTGCCTACACTTAAGGAGTGGGAAATTGTGTTCCTCCTTTGTGAGGGCTAAGAAGATTATTTGGAATGCTTCTGCACAAGAGATTTCTGTCTCCGTCTGTTTATATATTTTTTCCAGTCAAAATGTATTTGTTATCTTTTTGGGACTTGCGGACTTGCTCTGTTGCCCAGGCTGGAGTGTAGAGGCACAGTTATATCTCACTGCAGCCTAAACCTCCTGGGCTCAAGCGATCCTCCTACCTCAGCCTCCTGAGTAGCTGGGACTACAGGCACACCACCATGCCCAGCTAATGTTTGTAATTTTTGTAGAGATGGGGTTTCACCATGTTGCCTAGGCTTGTCTCAAACTCCTGACCTAAAGTGAACTCACTTCAGCTTCCCAAAGTTCTGGGATTACAGGTATGAGTCACCATGCTCAGCCTCAATCATTTACATATATTAATATGGCTCATGGGTTATATCATTTTTGGGTTATAATCTAGCACTGTAGTATTGCTCAAATTGTTCCAGCTTTGGCCATTAAGAGCTCTTTTAGTTGGCTCCTATATCGCTTTAACATACTTTCATCACTGTGTTTTACTTTGGTTTTCTTTTTTGAGCACTTCCTTGCTTTTCTACACTATGAGATGCTCCAGATTTACTTCTTGTATTTCCTGCTTCACTCCTAGAATCAGCTATTTCTCGTTGGAACTCTGATTCTTTTTACTGGAAAATACTATTGGAAACCAGGATCTGGATGCCAGTTGTAATTGCAGCTCTTTTAAAACCAAATATTGAGTAGACAAAGTTTTAGCTGTTATCCCAGGTAGTACTAAATTAAGTCATTGCAATACTTTATTTAATTTCACTGGAATGTAAAATTTGCCTGAGTGAATTGAATGGAATGATCCTAAGAATTTTTAAGAGAAAATTCTAAGAATTATTATTACTGTTTCTGCTACTTTTTTAGAAAAAATTCTGTTCTTGATATCACTTGATTTGATTTTTTGTGAGTGTCCTTTACCAGAGAACCTGAGGCAAAACTTTAAAACATGATAATTTGAAGCAGGTTGGGATTAACTCTGGGATTTTGGAAAGACTTTAAATTCCATTAGGAAAATTAACAAGCATGTAGTCTGTGAAAGACATATAATTCATATTTATGTAAAGAATAATACTTTCTTCCACAGTCACACATCTAAAATTTTTAAAAAGTTCTTTATTAAAGAAAGAATAGCACTTTCTTTTGTATCACTAAGCATTTCAAATTTGTGTATCAAACAGAGGATTGGGGAGAATGTTTTGTTAAGGAAAGAGAAAAACAAAAAAAAATTAGTAAAAAAGAGAAATGACCTTTGAGCATAGTTAAAATACATTTTAACTATGTTTCATGTTGTTTCAAAGGGACATTCCCTGTTATAGATCTCATCTTTCTGACACCATAATTGAGATTTTCATAATCTGGGATATTTGTACATATATCAGACAATTAATTTTTAGAGGTTTTAAAGGGATTTATTTGTATGTATGTGATTGCAATCTTAGTAGTACTGATGAAACTTGTTGAAAGTTTATATTTTAATTTTACTTTTTCTCTGCCTTGCCAGGCAAATATTCTTTTGAGCATCTACCATTTCAATAAACAAGCTGCATTTTTACACCCATCAAGCAACCAGGTCAGTAGAATCACAGGATCTGATAGGTGAATGAATAAAGTATAAAAACCAAAATCATTTTCAAAGAATTAACCAAATGTTTTTATCCTGGGCTGTGATGATCACTATTTGTCCTAAACTATTTTAATGATCTGTGTCTTAGGTCATTATTATTATTATTATTTTCTTGAGACAGGGTCTCGCTCAGTTGCCCAGGCTGGAGTGCAGTGGTGCGGTAATAGCTCACTGCAGCCTCAGTAATTGTAGCTTCAATCTCTTGGTCTCAAACAATCCTTCTGCCTCAACATCTGGAGTGGCTGGGA